CTATTCTCTAATTCTACTACTAATTCTAGTATTCTCTTATTCTGTTATTCTGTTATTCTACTATTCTGTTATTCCGCTATTCTATTATTCTGCTATTCTCTTATTCTGCTACTCTCTAATTCTACTACTTATTCTACTACTACTAATTCTACTACTCTCTTATGCTGATATTCTGCTACTTTGTTATTCTGCTATTCTATTATTCTGCTATTCTCTTATTCTGCTACTCTCTAATTCTACTACTTATTCTACTACTACTAATTCTACTACTCTCTTATGCTGATATTCTGCTATTTTGTTATTCTGCTATGCTTTTATTCTGCTGTTTTGTTATTCTGCTACTCTCTTATTCTGTTATTGGACAATTGAACTACCCATGACAACATTTTGAAAGAGATAAACAGGCTGGGTTGGGCCAGCTTGCTAAACCAGCTTCATTAAAAGTCCAGCATGTTGTGTGAATGTGCTAACTTAGTTTGTGGTGATGAAAGAAAGGGACTGGTTTAGTGTCTTGTGAGAAGCAAATCCCTCATTTTTTTGGGTGGTGGTGGTGAACCAGGATGTCATGTTAAGCCACAATTTTGGCAAATTAAGATGGGTGGACCTCAACTCCCAGAATTCCTCAGCTCACAAACACAACAATATTTCCTCCCTCCCTCTCCCTCTCTCTTTCTTGCATTTTTCTTTCCCATTTCTTTCCTCCCTTTCTTTCCTCCTCTTTCTTTCTTTCTTTCTTTCCTTCCTTCCCTTCTTTCCTCCCTCCGTCCCCCTCCTTTCTTTCTTTCCTTGTTTCTTTCCTTCCTTCTTTCCTTTCCTTCCTTCTTTCCTTTCCTTCCTTCTTTCCTTCCTTCCTTCCTCCCTCTCCTCTTTCTTTCTCCTCCCTCCCTCTTTTCTTTCTTTCTTTCTGTCTTTCTTTCTTTCCTTCTTTCTTTCCTCTTTCTTTCTTTCCTTCCCTTCCTTCCTTCCTTCCTTCCTTCCTTTCTTTCTTCCTTCCTTCCTTTCTTTCTTCTCAGGTTGGCCAAATCCTTCTCCTTCCCAGCAGGTCCCCCCACTCCCCTTTATAAGGTTTCAAGGACCTGCTCCTGCCGGCTACTTTCTATGGGGACAAAGTCCCGTAATCCTTTAAGGCTCCATCTCCGCTGAAGTGACCCCTTGACCCCCCCCGAGCTCAGCCGGTGGGACATAAACTCCAATCTTTCCTAAATGGCTTTTTTTTCCCATTTCCTTCGATGGTCCTTCAAAAAAGCATCCAATTTGTCCACTAAGCCTGCCTTTGATCTCTCCCAAATTTCAGCCTCTCAGAGAAAAGCCGTTTTCATTCCTTGCTCATCAAACCCTCCCAAGGGTTATTTTCCCAAGCGGAATTGCTTTTGGCTGCAGGCCTTCCCCTTGTAAGAGAGCGATTGGAAACAAAACGGGTAGTCCTCGCTTAGTGTCCGTTCAAGGATTCGACAGGCAACCCCCCAAAGGTGCTCACGGCCTAGTTTTTAGGGTGGCACCTTTCACCCTCCTGCGTGAGTATATTTTCTGGGTATTTTTGGCACCCAGCACACCTGGTTGTGATGGGGGCTCTTCTTGTTCGTTCCTTGATTGGGCTATGATTTTCTGCTCCGTTGTTTGTCTGGGGTTAATCCCTGCTTCTCTGGATGTTGGATGCTGGAGGGGAAGTGTTCTGGTCGAGCCTGATCAAGGAGCTGCCAAGGGGAAGACCCCATTCCCATCAATAATGCTTCTTCTTCTTCTTCTTCTTCTTCTTCTTCTTCTTCTTCTTCTTCTTCTTCTTCTTCT